TTTCTCTTTCTCTCCATTTCTTTCTCTCTTTCTCTTTTTCTTTCACTCTCTCTCTTTTCTTTCTTTCTTTTTCTCTTTTTTCTTTCTCTCTTTTTCTTTCTCTTTCTCTCTTCTTTTCTGCCTCTCTCTCTTTTCTTTCTCTCTCTCTTTTTCTCTCCCTCTCTTTCTCTCTCTTTCTCTTTCTTCTCCTTGGGCATTAAACTAAATAAATAAATCCAAGCATAGCAATAACTTACCAACTGAGTGCAGGTAGTCCTCAACTTATGACCACAATGGCAGTCATATGATCCCTGTCAGGGTTCCAAGGGATGCCCTAATTAATTCATGAGCCTCGAGCCAAGTTTCAAAAGAAATCCAATTATTTATTAGGAGCAACATGTCAGCACTTTCTTAAATGCGGCTGGCTCTGCCCCAAATAATTTACTGCCCACCTATGACCCTGTTTCCCCCCTCCTCCCAGGAAGTGTCATAAATCAGATTCTCCAACGGATAGAAAACACGCCTCTCTGGCTGGCTCTGGTAACCTGAGATACAATCTGTAGAAAGGTATGCGTGGAATGTGCTTCTGGTCATAGCAATTGAGCTGCTCCATCAATTCCCCCCCCCCTCCTTATGGCAACTCGAGAGCAGACCAGGAATGCTTTACAAGTTGACAATCCCCTTTTGCGACTGTCTGACAAGCCAAGTCAGCCAGATTCGCCTAACAGTGGTGTAACTAGCCAGTGCAGCGATTCACTTAACAACCGTCTCCCATAGCAACATAACTTTTGGGCGAGATTGTGGTCGTAAGTCGAAGATTATCTTGACCCAAACAAGAAATTATCACCCTTCCTCAACTCTGCTTCGGTTTTTACCCACCTGTTCTGTTTGCAGAGATTTGCTAATAAGGTCTCTTCTTCACCCACGTCTCTGTTGGAATGAGCGGCAGCCTTGAAACCTGATGAATTGACAAATCTATGAATTAATTGACGGGGATCTGGTATGGCTGGTTGGATCAGCCGGCTTCTGTTCTAGGAAGTCACACAGGTCAAGCCAAGGCCTGTTTGTGTTTTCAGCCTGCTGTGCCACCCCTTAATTGGGGCGCATCTCTTGCAATATTGGGGAACAAGATAATTGCTTCGTTTCTCGATGATTAATCAGAGCCGTTTGATTATCGTAAGGCCAGATCGCTGTGGCCTGAATTCACAATATTCTACAAAGGGCCACAATGCATTGGAAAGCAATCAGAACAGAGCTGGAAGGGACCTTCGAGATCTTCTAGTCCAACACACTGCCCAAGAAGGAGACCCTATACCAAGGGTCTCCAAGCTTGACAACTTTAAGACTTGTGGACTTCAACTCCCAGAATTCCTTTGCTGGCTGAGGAATTCTGGGAGTTGAAGTCCACAAATCTTAAAGTTGCTAACGGTGGAGACCTCTGCGCTCCTATACCATTTCAGACAAATGGCTGTCCAGACTCTTCTTAAAAACCTCTAGTGATGAAGCACCCACAACTTCTGGTGGCAAGCTGTTCCACGGGTTCATTATCTTCACTGTTAGGGAGTTTCTCCTTAATTCCAGGTTGCTGCTCTCTCCTTGATTAGTTTCCATCCATTGTTTCTTGTCCTGCCTTCAGGGGCTTTGGAAAACAGGGGCCCTCTTGGGGCATCCCCTCAAATACTGGAATACTGCTATCGTGTCTCCCCCAGTCCTTCTTTTTCTACCCAAACCTTGCAACCGTTCTTCGTATGTTTTAGTCTCCAGGCCTCTAATCATCTTAGTTGCTCTTCTCAGCACTTTTTCCAAAGTCTCAACATCTTTTTTGTGTAATGTGATAACCAAAACTGGATGCATTATTCCAAGTGTGGCCTTACTAAGGCTTTATCAAGCGGAAGTAATACTTCCGGTGATTTTGATTCTATGCCTCTGTTTATACAACTCAGAATTGTATAACCTTTGTTATCAATGCTGGTGCCTCTAATTTATATTCTTGTATTTAATTTCCTCTCAGCTTTTCTGCTTTTCCTGTTCCTTGGCTTGCTCAGCAATTGGGTTAGCAAAAAATTGTGCAAAAAATTTATGCCCTAATAAACTTGAAGGGGTCACAAAGATCTTGAGAAACCACAAAGAAATGACCATAGAGAAGTTGCTGGCATTTAACACAGCAAGAGTTACCGGCGTTAAAAAAAACAGAAATTCAGCCCAGGAAACAGAGAAAACCTTGAAAAGAATATCAGATATTTTACACAAAGCAATGGTTTTTTAACGTTACAGGTTATCCTCGACTTACGACCAGAATGGAGATCAGAAATTCGGTCGTTCAGTGAGCCGCCCCGATTTCAGGTCCCTTTTTCCATGGTCGTTAAGTGAATCACTGCAGTGGTTAAATGAATCCGTCGGTCATTAAGCGAATCCAGCTGCCCCCCCCCCCACTAGACTTTGCTTGTCAGAAATTGCTTGGGAAAGTCACAACTGGGGATCACATGACCGCAGGATTCTGCAACCGTTGTAAATACGTGCCAATTGTCAAATGTGCCTATTGTGATCATGTGATTATAGGAATCTTTCAAGGATAATAATTACGAGGATTAGCCATAACTTAACTCATTTTTTTCAGTGCATTGTGACTTTGAACAGTCACTAAGAGAAAGACCATTGTAAGTTGAGGCATCCCAGTAATGTTTTAATGCCTGACCTATAAGTGATATACAGCCTTTAAACCTTTAATAACCTTCCTTTCTTTTCCGTTTTGTTCTGCTTAGTTTTTTTTTTTTAAAAAAAAAAACGGGTTCCTTCCTGCATTTTTTTCCTCATTGTTTGTCCAGCTTTTGCAATTTCTGTTTAAACATTTTTCTATCTTCCTCAGCAAATAAAATAAGTTGAACTGAAAAAAAAATAGGGAGGGAAAGGAAAAAGGCTTTCATTAAGCTTTCAAAGCTGATGCCACCCTTTCGAGGTAGGCTTGATGGGTTATCCGACTCCATAAAAATAATAGGAACCTGGCTTTATAGAGATGGGTTAAATTAAAGGCTTTTCTCTACCTGGCCTACTTGAAGTCGTGTGGACTTCAACTCCCAGAAGTCTTTGCTTTGCTGGCTGTGGAATTCTGGGAATTGAAGTCCACACGTCTTCAAGTAAGCCAGGTTGAGAAACACCTATCTATCTATCTATCTATCTATCTATCTATCTATCTATCTATCTATCTA